ATATATCTTATTAACCAAGCGCGAGGGCCGTACTGGGAGAATATCGGCCCGAGGTCTTGACAGTACGGACCGAGCGCAGCGAGGTCCGTACAAAAAAGACCGAGGGCCGATATTCTTCCAGTACGGTCCCGAGCAAGCTTGGTTAATAAGAGATTTATTATACGACTGAAGTTCAAAGGGACACAAGTGTGGTATCATTCGGGACCATTCGGGACAGTGCCCGGTCCAATACTTAGAGAATATTGAACCGGCAATAGAGCATTTTGATTAGTTGATTTTAGTTATTGGCCCTCTGACTGCCCGAGTCGTGTAATAATCAGACTTATCAGGTAGACGTTGTTATCTTGATCTAACGTCTAATTCTTGTAACCAACTTAACAATAAATAAAATGTGGACACACTTTTACCACGTCCTATTACCTTGTTGAACCCATACAATGGCTGGCAAAGGTGGAAAGGGACTCCACTTTTGGAGCAATGGCTGGCTTTCATTTCTCTTTTTTGCCACTAATGTCTCCATTGAAGTTTTGACTTTTGTCAAGTTAGCTGTAGAATATGTAACAATCAGATCAGTAATTTAAAGCAAAAATAAAATGATTCTCCAGCAAATTAAAAAAAAAAGGTGCCAACTTACATCCATAATTCATTGCAGCACCTAGCCCTTTGTCTTTAATAGTCCACTGCATAAAAAGAAAAGAAAAAAGAAAAAATTGACTAATCAATCATTTTACCAATTACTTATTATTAATTAATTCATTATGGAATTACGCTCACCATAGATCCCTAATTTTTGCATGTGGCTCATTGCATTTGATACCTGCTACAAGCATAGATCGTATGGTATATAACACAAAATGAAATTTTCAACAGTTACTGTTGGGGGTCTGCTAAACAAACTGCACAAAATGAGTCATGATACATCATCACATTGCTGACTGTTTTGCATTTCATGAAAACTTACTGTTCCACTCCCTGTGATAATAAGGTGAGGACTCTTTTGGGGATTCTGTGGGAAAATAAATAAAAGCAAAAAAAGAAAAAAATCTACTTTCCACTCTCACTTACCAGGAATAAAGGAAACTACAATTACACCATCAAGCTAATGTATAAATCTGTTACATACTGTAAAACTGTCCAGTTACAAGCATGACATGTTCCCCACCAACTAGTGCTCTTATGATACATTGTAGTCACCATCTGTCTTCTCATTGGCTAAACACCTACACTTAATTCTGGGAAACAGTGCAACCTACAGATTATTCACTAATCTGTATCGATTAGCGAATAATCTGTAGGTTGCGCGCGCAATGCACGATTTCCAGTGGAGCAATGTCAAGTTCACAGACAGCAAAGTAAGAATGGCTTCTCAATTCGCTTCATTGACCCAGCAAGAAATTGAGAAATTACTTGAAGATAAAGATTCAGAAAATACTAAAAGAATGTATAATAAAACAATTA